AGGAATAATAAGTGTAATATCCACTAAAGCAAAGCTTAAGTATATAACACCAACAGTATCTTCTTGTGATGATCTCTGGTAATCTGATTAAAATATTCCATTTATAGATTCATGATCCATCTGTCGCTGGGATGAATTGATTGATATGTTTAGTGAAATGTAGCAAGTTTGGACAAAATAAAATGGAACACTAAAGACGGATACGCAATGTAATCAACTGGAAAATTAGTGAATTTCAGAAATATTAAATCAAGGCAAAACTTCATAAATATTAAACCAAGACAACCCATTAATTCAAAAAAAAAAAAAAGAGAGAGAGAAAACTATCATTCCATTTAAAATAGCGGCGCTATAGCGTGGACAGCAATGCAACGCTGCGGCGTATAGCTGCCGCTATAGCGCGGTGATAGCGCCGCTATAGCGGCAATAACGGCCAGATCAGCCAAATGCAAAATTCGATAGCTCGCTATTTGTTTCTTTGATAGACACACGTTCAAATCATAAGCTTAATCGAGTGGTTCGTGAATGAAGGGACCGTATCATCATTGAGTTCTACACTAAAAGTTTATTTGCTTGTCCATGTAAACGTACTTCATATTTTGAGTTCGTCATTCGACGCAGTCTGAGAATTTCGTAAGGATCATATATAAATTAGATTTATGTCAATATATGAAGGCCTATAGTGTCACAAAATATGCTGCATATAGTTTTCCGACTAAGAGTGAATCTAGATTGTTAAATATTCAATTGGATTGTAATATTTATTTATGAGTATGAGATTATTTTCTATTTGCTGGAAAATATTTAATTAAGTTAAATTGGATTTATATTTAAATAGTAAAGAGATAATTTTTTAGTTGATGGAAAATATTTAATTAAGTTATATTATATTTATACTTAATTAAATTATTAATTGGATTAGGTCCATTTACCTATTGGGCTATAGGATTTCCTAAAGCCCACATAATTAGGTTTGAACTAATTATAAATAGGTCATTATCTCTTCATAATCATGATGATATTAAAAATCATTAGATGAGAGAAGGAGGATGATACGTAGCGTAACATCACGAGATCTATCAAAACACTCTTCTACTTTCTGATCGAGGATTCCTAACTTCTTCACCAGAAAGGATTCATTGGCGTTGGATCGTGCATCGGGAAATTGGATTGCGTGGATACCATAGTCGAGGACATAGACGAACAACGGTAAGTTTTCGTGTATCATTCACGTGATCTAGGATCATATCGAATAGTTATAGCCGAATCTTCGTTATTGGTAAGAAAATTTGTAAAATTTCGCTGCGTGTGCGATTGATTCGTACTTCGAAAATCCAACAGATTAAGAGTTCAACTAATGGTAAATTATCATATATAAGACTCCTTAATAAATCACGACTGGAAAGAAATAAAGTTGTCATCAAGCACATACACTTAAAACAAATGATTTCCCCAAATTATGTTTAGGAAAATCAAACGAGTTAACGGTCAACGGTTGAACTGATGTATTGGACTGTAGGTCAAGGCCCATAAATGGCCCGACAATCAGGCCCAAATTACTAAATTTTACCACGTAGTCCCCCACGCGTCAGCTCACCAGCATTTTGCACACCTACTCAGTTTATCCTGTCAATTGTAATAATAATAACTAATAATAGAAATGTTGGATCTTCCT